GGGGGGGAAGGTGTGTGTGTGTGTTTCTCTTGCTCCTCCTGCGGTTTTCTCTTACGGATGCTTTTGAATGCATAGAGTGTATACTGGGACGTGGGAATCACGAAGCCCTGCTAGCTCAGTGGTAGAGCGTATCTCTCCTACCATGCCTGATCACCCGCCGACATACGCTTGTGGGGGTAGGATCAAGATGAAGTCGTGGGTTCGACCCCCACGTGGGGCTTCCCTTTTGGATCTCCTCCTACCCATCTTTTTTCTCCTTTAAATGACAAGGGAACCCCCCCCCCCACCCCCCCCTTTCCTTCCACCACCTCCCCATCTCATCCAATCCATCTCTGAATCGGAAAACCCACGATCCTTCGGGGGGGAAGGGTGTAAAGAACCTTCTTGGAAGGAGAGTGGGAACAAAATCCCATTCCGATCGGTACGAGGTATACCCCGCAGCTGGAAGGTTTGCAACCTATTTTACCGACCTCGCCCTTTCCTTTCCTTCTTTGCTAGTTCCGTTGCCACCTAGGGTAAGAGTGGGTCTTCGCTTCCTTTTCTAGGGAAGGATCCGTTCGGGAATGCAGGGTAGAGTGAGATTTGAAGAGAGGGGGAAAAAACCAAACCGACAGTGCGAATCGGGAAGGTCGGGAACCGGAACACCTGACGAGATTGGGGGGAGGAGAGAAAAAATAAGAGCCCCACGTGGGGGTCGAACCCACGACTTCATCTTGATCCTACCCCCACAAGCGTATGTCGGCGGGTGATCAGGCATGGTAGGAGAGATACGCTCTACCACTGAGCTAGCAGGGCTTCGTTACAGCCCAAACCCGCGAAGGTAAGTATAATGCTACAGCAAGAAAGACATAATGAAAACTCCACGTCTTCCCTACCCTCTCCTCATCGTAACCCGTCCAACCTCTCTCACTCTCACTCTTCGTCACCCCTCTATCCCTTCCTCCAAAGACAATAATACCACTCTGGGATCAATCTCAAGACATGTGAGTTCTGGTATGGGAAAAAGGGTTCGAAAGAGTTCCTTCCTTGCTATTCTTTCTCTCTCTTTCTTCATCTTTCCCCCTATTGAGGAAGGAGTTTTACAGAAGGGGAAGGGGAAAAGGGGTGTTGGAAATTAGAGACGGCTCAGTCATCACCACGACCTTTCGAGCTCAACTTGGCCCTCTTGGCTTGCTTCAATCCTTGGGATCGGTAGATGTCCTTCATCTCTGCCTTCCTCTTCTCGGCCCGGATGGCTTCGTCTTTCAACGCCAGCTTCTCCTTACTCTCCCTTCTCTCTACCTGCTTGTCCCTCCTGCTCGTATCAAATGGCAGGGGGAGGGGGGATAGGGAACGAGGGTCAGTGGAAAGGGTCAAAAAAATCGAAAAAATAAAATTAAAAGTACAAAAAAGCAAAAAAAAACGCACCTCTTCTGGACCTTCTCCTTCTGGACGGCTCTCATCTGCTGGAGCAAGGCTACAGCCTTCTTCTCGTCGCCCTCGAGGACGACGGCCCTCTTCTGGAGGTAGGTCTTCTTCTTCTGCGCCTTCATCGTCTTTGGCTTGGAGGCGAAGGGGAGCTCGGCCTGGAGCTTCTTCGGGATCTTGAGCGGGTTGAACTTCCTGTTCTCGGGCCTCTGGACGGGCTTGTAGGTCGAGTTGATGTTGAGAGGCGTCTTGATCTGCTCCTCCCTCCTCACGGTCCCCGTGAGTCTCATCCCTCTCCACTCCCGGGACGATGGGCTGAGGAGGAGGGAGGTGACCGGGTTGTAGAGCTTTCGAGGTTTGATCGAGTACCATGCTCTGAGGAAGACGATGTCTGAAAAGCAACAGGAGGGGAGGGGGGGGGGGTTGACCGAATGTTAAGAATCGTTGATCGATAGATGAGAGATAAGAGAGGGAAAGAAATTGGAAAGCTTGAAAGGGAACGATAAAAGCCCCCACTCACCACTCATGAGGATCTTGTCCTCAAACGCGGCCCTGAAATGCCCCTCAGGTTTGGCCAGCGCCTTCTTGACCTGACCCCTGATGCCCGAGACGGTCTTGATGTGAGCTCCTTCAAATTTGGCGACCTCGAGGGCGCTGTTGAACATGTCCTTGATGAATGCCGTGTTCTTGAACACCTTGGAGGGTGTTCCGGTCAACTTGAGCTTCTTGACGATCTTCTGGGTCCCTGAGTCGACGTCGAGGACGACGCCGGTGGCGCTGACCCGGAAGCCGGGCGTGTCAGAGTTCAGGGAATTGAAGGCGAGGAAGCCCGTGTTGGGAGCCGAGGTGGGTCCCCAGAAGGTGGCGAGGCAGTGCATGTGCTCAGGGGTGTACTTTAACATCCGGTTCCTGGTCCCATCGTCGAGGCTGTAGATGGGTATGCTCTGGAAACGCCTCCAGCCCAGACTGAAGATGAGCGGGTCGTTCGTCTTGAGGATCTTCTTGAACCACCTGTGCCTCTTGATCCTCACTTGCACGAAGCCGAACGTCTCCTCCGAGGCCAGGAGGCCACCGACTAGGAGGGGGAAGGCCGGATCAAAGTAGTTGACCAGCTCGCAGGGGACCTTGTCCAGCTCGAGGCGCACGTAGGTTCCGGGCCGGTAGCCCTCGACCAGTTGTCTCGTCTCCTCATCCTCGTTGGCGAATTCAGCTCTGTTCATCTCGGCCTGCTTGGCCAGGGCCGCCTTCTGCTCGTCGTACCAATCCTGCCCATCGCCGGCATCGTCAGGGTCGTCGTACTGCTCGTCGAACCTCCGCTTGAGCGCCTCCTTCTTGGCGGCTAGAGCCGCTTCCCTCGACTTTTCGCCCTTGTCGACTTGATCCCCGTTCCCCTCGGCGGCCTCTTCGTCCTCACCATCTGGGTGGTCGTCATCGTTGTCGTCACCATCACCATCCGCGCCGAGGTTGTTGGGCTCATCACCGGTGATGAAAAGGTGCCGGATGGAATCGAGCACCCTCTCGTTCTCCCATCTCGACAAGGCTTGAGGTTCGTAGGCGGGCCTCGACTGGTCGGGCACTTCGACACCATTTCCCTCCAGCGCGTCAATCCCATCACCCAAACCGTCCTTGGCCGGCCTGAAGAAATCGTCGTCCTCGATCCGATCCTCGAACGACGCAGGGTCGGAGCCCTTGTCATCGTTGGAGTCTCCATAGATGTCGCCGCTGGCGATCTGCTCGGGCGTCTTGTCTGAGTGGTAGATCAGCCTCGTCAGGTCTGCCCTCTTCCTCCTCCTGTTGGCCATCACCGTCTCTTGTGCCTTGCTGGCAAGGTCCCTCTTCCATGGCGCCACCTCCTCGTCACCGTCTTCCTCATCTTCGTCCTCGGAATCTTCTCCACCAGAGTCATCGTCCTCTCCCGATTGGTCTTCATCGTCGCCTAGTTCGAGATCCGAGTCGCTCTCTGCGTAAGCGATGTTTCCCTCACCCATCTCGTCCCCGCGGTCACCGTCGTCGTCCAAACCCCTTCTGGATCTGAATCTCCCGGTGCCTCGGTTCTCATCCCCGTCATCGTCGTATTCCTCTGGCTCCTCGTCCTCCTCGTCCTCCTCACCTTCGTCGTCGTCATCCCCGTCGTCGTCATCCTCCCTGACATCATCAAAGGCAGCCCTGCGAACCCTCTTGCCCTTGGAACGCGCAGAGTCGTCTCTAGGACTCTCGTCCGCTCTCAGAGGAGCGGCGGAGGATTCGAAGAGCTTTAGCTCGGCCTTGGAAGCCATGTCGTCAAGGGTCACCTTGGCGTCCTGGAGGTCCATGACCATCCTCTCACCCTCGCCCCTGTCTTGGTCGTCCTCGCCCTGCCCGTCCGCGTCGTCGCCCTTCCTGGTAAAGTTGCCAGGGACGTTGATGTAGACGGCGTCCTTGTCGAACATGACTCCTCCGACGTCGCTCATTGGGGCGTGGATCAACTTTGCCTTGTCGCTCAGCTTCCTCCTCTTTTCGCTGTCGTTGGTCGGGAGAGGGCAAGGGTCGTTGAGCTTCTCCACCGACTTGATAGAGAGATCTCCGGCGCCAGGGATGTGGACCCTCTGGTTGGGTCGGAGGTTGGTTCCCCTCAGGTAGCCGTAGACGGTGATGGTCCTGTCGGCCTTGGGGTTCTGCCTTACGAGCTCCCTTGGCGTCAGATCCTCGAGACGATCGGCGAGGAGGTAAGGGTGAGCGTTCCTGAAGATGAGAGGCCTGAACTTCATGACGCTGATGAACCTGCTCAGGTTCTGGATCTCGACGTCGGGGTAACGGCCGTTGATGATGCCGGAGAGGTAGAAGAGCTTGGCTCCGTCGTAGATCTCGGTCCAGAACCTCTGCTTGAGCCTCTTCTTGGTCGCCCTGAGCGTCTTTGACTTTTTGATCAGGTCGAGGTGGGTGAGGACGCCGATGACCTTTGGGAATCCGTGGGCCTGGAGGACGTTGAGGAACTCCATGGTCTCCATCTCGAAGCCGAAGGAGCCGTCGATCATGAGCAGGATCAGGTCGGCCACCTTGCCGATGTCGATCATCGAGTTGATGTCGTTGTTGCACTCGATGAAGGTCACCCTCCGCTTCTTTCCAGAGACGACGGTGACAGGGCCCTTGATCTCCGCGAGTGTATGCTTGGTGAACCTTCGGATGAGGGACCTCATGAGGGTCGTCTTACCGACGCCTTCGGGTCCGACGACGGCGACGATGATGGGAGGCGGTTCATCCTCAGGGGTCCTATCCACCAGGGGAACGTGGAGCCTCTTTTGATTCTTCTCTGCGTTCCTCCTGATCTGCTTCTCGGCTACGTGTGGGTTGGCCGAGATGAAGGCCTGATGGTTGGATCCATCCGTTCATGGCGTGAGGGAGGGAGAGGGGTGGTTCGTCAAACCTCGCAGCCTTTTGGAACCTTCCAAAGAGGACGAAGGAGGGAAAGGGAAAGGAGGAAAGAGGTTGAAGGGGAGCGGCTTACCTTGGGGTTGTATCCGTTCTGATGCTTGCTTGCCTTCTTGGCCTTTTCAGAATTCGGACCAGCCTGAGAAGGCCTGTGAGCTCGATGCTGTTGCTCGGACATGGTTGAGAGCGATCAGCCTTCTCGAACTCTCTGCGACCCCTCTCGCAAGTCGAGAGAGGCGAAGGAGGAAGAGGTGAGGTGCGGAGGTAGGGGTGGTGTGGGCCTCGGTCAGAGGATGGGGTGTCACCGTGACGGATATCTGGACCTCTCCTTTTCCTCCAGTGGGATGAGCCAAGCTCTTCGGAGGTTGGGAGGTGGCAAGGGAATCGGATCGGAGATAGCGAGAGCCAGAGAGACCGTTGGAGAGAAAAGGATACGGAGAGGGAAGTAGGCGATGGGTTGGTGGATGAAGACGATGAACAACCGTGTTGCCCATCGGTGGTTTACCATCACCTTCTTGGTTGTTCTCTATTTTCCATTTTTCAAGAAAACTTTTTTTTCTTTTTTTTTCTCTTTCTTTTCATTTTCTTTTTTTACCCCCCCCTCCTTCTTCCGCCACAATTGCATTGACGCTCTTCTTATTGTTGATGATCTCTTCTTCCTCCGGTTGCGCTATAAAAAGCGATTACCCACCCTCGCTTTGATTCTATTCATCTGGTGGAGAACTCTTTTCACGTTCCTTTGCATTCAAGGCTTTCGAGAATTTCCTTTCCACCTCTTTTCTTCTTTTTCTAATCCTTCGCTTATTTTTTCCCTTTCTTTTTGCTTTAAAAAGAAGAGGAAGGTTGACTCTTCCGTTTGGCCGATTGCTAATGATGACGTAAGCAAACATTCGTACTGACCAACCTTTGAGTACGTCCTCCTTGCGTTCGTACAGACTGATTCTTAGGACCATGAATGGTTCAGGGGAGAGAGTGTGCGC